GTAGCCGGAAATTACAGGCGTGCACTACCACGCCCGGCTGATTTTTTGATTTATGTAAAGATGAGGTCTCGCTGCCCAGGCGGGTCTCGAACCTGCGGGCTCAGGCAATCCACTCACCTCAGTCTCCCAAAGGCGCAGGATTACAGGCTGAGCCACCGAGCCCGGCTCCATGTTTATGTTTATTCCTCTGTCCACAATCCTCTGCTACCCCAGGTGAGGCAGGTGCCTCTGGGTCGTTCACAGGATGGGGGTTATTCTACTCCCTTGGCTCCCAAGTGGGACTGGGAGGAGACACAGGCACACGTGATCCAGCGACAGACCACCACCAGCCACCTTAGAGAGAACACAGCAAGGGTGGCCCAGTGCCATTGCCCAGAGCTCCTGCTCTCTCCTGCAGAGCCACTGGGAGCTTCAGAACCTTCCCCAGCGCGTGGCTCTCGGCCGCCACTCCAGTGAACCTGAGTGTTTTCCAAACACGGATGTTATGATTACTAGCGGCTTGACCACAGTCCTCTGGGTTTTGGCTTTTAGTTGAACAGTTCTGGTTTTGTTTAATTTTGACTGCAATTACAGTCGCTTTCTATTTATTTATTTGTTGCAGAAACAAATGTGAAGGAAAATACTGTGAAGTACATGGAAATACTTGAGGCTAAACTGTGCAGGTAAGGACAATCATTTTTGTGTTACAGACTCCTTGGCTCATCTACGTCTTTTATTCTAACAGAATTTAGTTAAAGCAGTGAGAAGGCTGGGTGGAGTGGCTCAAGCCTGTGATCCCAGCACTTTAGGAGGCTGAGGCGAGAGAATTGCCTGAGCCCAGGGCTTCGAGACCAGCCTGGGCAACTTGGTGAGATGGCGTCTCTACAACAAGATTTAAAAAATAAGCTGGGTGTGGTAGTGCATGCCTGTAGTTCCAGCTACTTGGAAGGCAGAGGTGGAAGGACCGCCTGTGTCCAGCAGGTCGAGGCTGCAGTGGCTGTGAGTGTGCCACTGCGCTCCAGCCTGGGTGACAGAGTGAGACTCTGACTTCAAACAAACAAACAAAAACAGCAGTGAGAAAAGCTAGTCAATTTCTATAATGAATTAACAAAGAGACCAAAGAAGTCCTTTGAATCCTGCGAGTGAAGGAGCAGGGACCAACCCTGATCTTCCCTTTTAAAGAGTAAATAGATTAAGACATTGAAAAATGTCTTGGGGGGATCACAGAATAGTTTTCATGTTACATAAGAAAGAGAAGAATCTTCTTCAGTCTATTAAATTCAGAATTCATTCCTTGGTCTGTTTCTCCTTCTTTTTTATTTTTTCAATGTCTGAAGGGGGACTTAAGGATTTTCAGCCAGCTTATACATGGCTTGGAATAATACAGAAATGCATGCCTTAGGTTCTGTTTTCAATCCTGAATCGAAACCAGCGTGAACATTCCTGGTTGCTTTTTTTTAAAAAACCCAATTAGGAATTCAGATTTGAGAATGTTAGAGATGCTGCAGCGTATCAAGCTGTTTCTGGCTTTTGTGGACGTGCCCTCACGAGAATAAATCCCAGTCATCGGGATCTGTTCCTAATTAAGGAAACAAGTCCGAGAATGTACTATGCGCTTTCTTCCCTGTAAGTTGTTTAGTTTTATGGAGACCGTTTTGCTACTATTTTGGAAATTGTTAAGTAACTCTTTAGATAGGCTATGCCTTAAACCTTTGTCTGCTGGGATAATGCCATCGGCTAAAATGCTGCTTCTTACTTTTTTTTTTTTGAGTTGGAGTCTCACTCTGTCGTTCAGACTGGAGGGCAGTGGCCGCTCCCGGCCACCGCAGCC